CGTTCTTTTGATAATGCAATTGAAAGCCAACGGACAACACATGGTTCGCTAGAGGTGACAACGAAGAGCACAGTTCCTCGATTGGTGTCTCCTTGTAAATTAGAAGCTCATGTAGCAGAAGTATATACACGAACGATATTTTTTGAACTTCAGAAAGAGTTAAAAAAGGCTGTTTGGCTTTGTGGATGGGATGGATTCACTGACGTTGGTGAAATCCGAGTGTACACAATAACACACAAGAACAAAGCTTCTAGGATCACCACAAAGTACACGGTAGTTATTTCTTAATTTTCCAATTTTGCCAAACAGTTCAAATAGTATAATTCCTAATGCAACTTCAAAATATCTCTCGTGTTTCTCACTTGATAGGTTGTCAAGAACAAGATTGAAAACTCGTATGATTGCTCATGTAACTGTTTTGTTCGTAACGGGATTTTATGTCATCATGCTCTCAAGGTAATGTTAAATGACGAGGTTGATAGAATTCCAGATAAGTATATACTTCGCTGCTGGAGGCGCGATCTAGTCCCAGTGGAGTGGTTACCAGCACGTTTCAGATATGGGGAAGTTGACGCTGATAAGGAGAGGTTGATGAGTGTTGCTTATTCGTATTTTGAACGTATTHTAGGTCGAGTRCRAAATGAGAAACATATTTTGTCAAAATTTGTTAACCAACTTCAAGAATGGGATACAAAGATTGATAGTGAACTTTCTATACAGTCACACGCTCAAGAGACAACAACATCTATTAAAGAGTTTCTTGGARTATCTCAACCAGAAAATATCGATGTTCTACCTCCAACCGGCATACGGAATAAAGGTTGTGGGACTGGTAAGAGACTTATTAGCGCTGTTGAGAAAGCAATTACGAATGGCAAAAAGCAGAAGAGAAAGTGTCGGTTATGTCGACAAATGGCTACACATGATTCGAGGAATTGTCCAAAACATGATTCCACTTAAATTATGCCTTTTAATTCTTGGTGATATTACAGGGTTCAACACATTATAGGATTATACTATTGTGTTTTAGTTAAATATACTACATTTTATAAAATGTTTTCATTAAATATTTAGTGAATCTCTAATTTTTAATAAATTTGAATATGCTTTCATTTTAGTGGTTGAGGTACGTGTAAAAAGCCAAGTTGGTACATATAATTCTCATGAGAATGGGTACATATTTTTCTTATTGTCAATCTGGTATCACCGCATGTTAAACTCACCGAATATTGATCATTATGTGTTTTCATTATTTATACATGCATCAAGAAACTTTTGATCTAGTTGGGTATGAATTCATTTTACCCTTTTGTGTACTTTGAAAAAGTTATGTGGGTACATACGRATCTGACTAATATGGGTTCATCAAATTGTGTTAATGATGCTTCAATAATAGATTGTGAATCTGGAATCACCAAATGTTATAATCAATGAATATTGATCATTATGTTTTGCATTATTTTCTACATGCATTAAGAAACTTTTGATATAGTTGTGTATGATTTCATTTTATCCTTTTGTGTAGTTGGAAAAAGTTATGTGATTACAATACATTATGATGAACATGGGTTCATTAGAAAACATTCTGATGAACATGGGTAGGGCAGAATGTATTAGTCATTCTACCATAACATATTGTGAATATGTAATAATCATGTATTTTTGGATGGATATGGTTTGCATTATATATTCAGTATGAATCAAGTTCCATATAACATTTTCAACTTTTTGTGTAGTTGAACAAAGTGCTTATTTGAATATGTTATTCAAGATTTTGAATCTGTATGGTTAGCATTCATATGACAATGCGTTGGCAAAATATGTTCATCAAATGTCATATACATTTCATAACGTTGAATTAGCCAATAGCATAATGTTTAAACAAACTAGAAAATTCGATACCAAAAGCAAGTCATTAAAACCCTCTACATGCGAAAAGTATAAAAGAACATCAATCAATCAGATTTNGATACCAAAAGCAAGTCATTAAAACCCTCTACATGCGAAAAGTATAAAAGAACATCAATCAATCAGATTTGAAGTCTCTCAGTTTTTGTTTCGTCAACATGTTTTCTTAACTTTTTTCGGATGGCTTCATCCATTGATTGAAACTTCTCAACTTCCTTAACGACATATTCCTTCTTCTTGTTGTAGTTGTTCACCAATAATTTTGCTACATATTTCATTCTTAGGGAGGCTATTTGGATCTCTTGTGTTTTTCCTTCTTTTGACAGGCTAGTATTCCATGTTCGCACATTACCCATGTACGTCTCCATGTGTCTCATTGCAAACACGCCACAATCATCGAAGTTGTTTTGTGTCTGCCAATCCATCCTCAACCTTTCTTGGCCGATTTCATCTAGTTCTCTCCCCGCTGGATGTCCAACAGCATTCAAATGCATGGTCATCAATCTTTGCTACACAAACGGAATGATATGGTTAACACATCGTATATCATATTAATAAAGAATACAATTATACGTCAATATTTTTTTCATACCAAAATGTCTGTGATGAAGTCATACATCTGTAGAAGTTGATCATCATCGGACACCTCTTGATATCTGTTGTCTATGACAACAACCGATGGGTTCTTCAGATTGAACACAACAAGATAATAGTGWCCCTTATCCAGTAATGGGAAGAATACCTATCATTTCATGAAGTTTGTAGTTTCATTAACAAAATGTTACATTTCATAAAAATCAGCACGTTACAGTGCATTAACATAGAGTTTCATTAACAGCATGTTACATTTATAAGAAGAGTTTTATATGTTCATTAACATCATCTAACAAAAGTAACATTGTAATTAGGTTTATTCAGAGCATGTTACTGTGCATATAAAACTTGATGTAACATTATGTTACTGTTACATTGTTGTTAATGTGCTGGTACAAGCGTTTAGGTTAATTAACAGCATGTTACTTGCTGTTACATTTCTGTTAATGTGTTAGTACAAGCATTTAGGTTCATTAACAGCATGTTACTTGCTGTTACTATGCATATAAAACATAATGTAACATGGTGTGCATTTAGCTTCATTAAACAGCATGGGACATACTGATGAAACCAAATTCATGCTGAAACTGTGCATAAAACAGCATATAACATACTGATGAAACCAAATTCATCAGCTTACATATGAATCTAATTTCATTGGTAAACATTGCGTCATCATGTAAAGGCTTATGTAATGTACTAATGAGACCATTTGCATCAATGTGTTAGAACATGCGAATTAGCTAATGATGTTTGCAATAGTGTATCAGATACATTGACATGGGTGATTGAGT